GCTTCATTTCAGAGAACCTCTTGCTCACCTTGGCTTCACATCACTCTCCACAGTCACATCAGAAAGCACACCACAAAGACTGACAGGATTCATGACCAAGCATGCAACACCTGTTGGCAACCATCAGGCAGCCTGGGAAGTATCCTCTTGCCCAAATATACAACCTTATACCATCCTGATTCTGAGCTAATACATTAATACCAAATGTAAACAACCCAGGAATTAGGCTTACAAGTATTATTTGATGAAAAAACTCAATGAATTTTCCCATCTTTTTTTTTTTTCTTGCTATTCTGGAGTCTCTCCACTTCTTTCTCTGCATCATTTTGCTCCCAGATTCCATGTGTGCCCATTCCCACCTTCAAATTAAATCTTTCCAGAAATGTGCTTTTTCTTAATCTGTTCACAAATTACAGCAGGAATTGCTCAAAATGTTGGCAAATGTCTCCCCTGCTGCCTCTCTCAAGACACAATATTGTTGTATTTCTACAATATGCTCTCTTAAAAACATGATTAAGATCTTGTTCCACTCAGTGCTCTACAGGTGCACTGTTAGACTCTCAATAAGCACAGCCTTAGATGTGCAGCAACACAGTGATCCACTAATACAATGGTAATGCAACTGGAATTCAAGAGCGACGGGCACTTAAAAATGTTACAGGCCTCTGGACCTGGAAATCTGGGAGTGAGAGTCATCATCATCAGGGCTGTTTAGAATGCCGTGGCAAAGAATAGCAATGGGAGATGAAGATTAACACATTTTGTGGAAATGAATTATATTCATCTTTGGCTATGCTTTCTCTGCCTCTACTCAGTTCCATTAGCCCTTCTCTTTCTTTTTTTTAAAATATTCAAGTCACTAATATAAACAAGAAACAGACAGGGCCAAATACAATAGAGTAGTGTTGGATCACATGTGCAATAAATGCCATCCACACCTTAATTGCCTCCATAGACAAACAGTGAAATCCCTCACACTGATAATTCCTGACTTGCCATTTTCTGGGGCTAAGTTAGACTGCTGCTCTGGAATGGGATTTTGGGCACACAAGTGCTTTTGGGCTATCTTGTCTCCCTGTTAGATAGGGGCTTTTAAAGCTGCAGCTTCCTCCACCTACCCTCTTTACACTTGGGCTGTTTTTCTCAGCCTCCATGTTTTCCTTCTACCTGCACCTCCAACCTCCTCCCCACTGCAACATTCCATCCAAATCACTTTTTCCCTAAACAGAAATCACATCATCGTTAACATTACACATGCAAAGAGGCCTAAAAAAAATAAAAATAAAAAAAGCTGGCTTGCAGATAGCATCTGAGATGCATATGTAGCAACTGGGCACACTCATGAACCATTTGGAAATCTGGCTCCTGGCAGTTAAATTGCAGACAGACATGATCTAAGCTTTCACAGCTTTCTCTCATCATGGCCAGATGGTGCCTGACCCCTGCAATAATTTTCTGCCATATTCCACCCATATGCAAACCTCACTGCTTCCATCAAGCTGTTACTACCAATAAACATTTTTAGAAATTGAGATTTTAATAAAGCATTAATAGAAAAACGAACAGAAAAATGTGAAGATTTCATATATTCTCTCACACACATCTATTCTTTAGGGATCACCTTAGGCTCTTCTAAAGCATCTCCATCTATACTAAACACTGCTCCAAGTAAATCAGTCTGAATGGCTGACCCCATAATGGAGCCTTGAGAATATTCTGATTTTCTCCCTTCCCTAATGATCAGAGACTGAAATCCACTTTTTCCTTTTTGCTTACACAACTTCCCACTCAGCCTCTTTCCATACTCAACCCTTATTAGTAGAACCTCTGACCTGAAACTCTCTAGTACATACAAAATACGCTGGCATTATATTTCTTGTCCTGCCTCCTTCTGGTTGTCCAGAAACCATCCAGGTGTTCTTAAATGTTATTAACAGATCCTTTTTCCTTTCCACTTTTATGCAGTGCTTCTCCCTGTTTATCCATTCATTGACTGTTAAAGCAATTCTACTCCTTCCCTGACACCCACCAAAGAAAACATTTCTGCTCACTTTTCTCAGATATGTTTCTGTACCTCTTCCTATCCCATCTCCATATTTGGTTTCCTCCATGACAGGGAGAATACTGTATTCTCTCCAAGTTCCTCTAGAATAATTTATCTTAAGAATGAATGTCCAGGAAACCTTAGGTACATTACTGCAAGCAAGGTAATGGAGTCTCTTCAACCTTCAGAACCTGCTGCAAGGAAGAGACAGGAAGATATATTCTGCAACAAAAGGAGAATATATTGGCTCACACAATTCAGAAGGAACATGATTACCTTCACCACAGCATATCTAGATACTGCAGCAGGAGAGCCCTGAGACCCCACACTCCTCACCAGGCGCTCTCAGAAAACATGTTCCTCCTAATCAAGGCTTAGACTCTGACCACATGAAGCAACCACCCTGCCAGAGCTGCCCATCATCCTCTCACCAACCCTACCAGCTGCAAAGTTACAGAGAATCATCAGGCACTCTTCCCCGTTGCATTTCAGCACCTATATGCAATAATAAAGGACGTGGGAATGCTCCAGGAGCCTTCTTAGCCCCAGTTTGGTTGCTGTGCTGTGAGGTTGACACAGTCTAGATGAAATATGTGAAGTTACAGGGTGAAATAAAGTCTCATTCTAAAGCCTATATCAATTCCTTTGCCTTTCTAGGGAAACAAGATGCTCCCAGGAACAATATTTGTAGTTGTGGTCTATATTCTCCCTTCGTCCAATTTCATGAACTTAGGACTTTTTCTAAATACTTCAAGTTCCTCCCATATTGATTAAAGAGGCATTAAGTATTCTTCCCAGATGTAGAAAAAATAAGCTATAGAGATAGGTTTATAAATATAGTTCCATACCATGTAGAGAGCCAAATAAGTTCCCCAGTAAAGCCAACTGTGGAACCAGAAACATGACAAGCACATAAGCACCACACTAGTTTTGCTTTCTGGGACTAAAGAAAGCTGTCCTCAGGGGTCATGCTGATCCCTAAAGGCCTTCTTGCTTTCTAGGAGCCAGCTCAGCAATTTCATTCATACCATGCTGACATATCTTGAAATTTCAGGACTAAACATAGAAAAGACTCAAAAGTACTGCCCTCTATTTCTGGTGGATCTCACACTGATCCTGCTACCTTTGCTAGTATTTTCTTCCCTAGCAAAAGAAAGAAAAAAACAATCCCAGGAGGAATTTCACAAGGCAAACTGTTCTGCTCAATTCATCCCAAGCTCCACCTAATGAAAACAGACACTTCCTTGATGACTGAGGATAATTCACTGCTTATGCAGTGAGAATCCTTCTCAGCCTATACAGGCTGGCTCCTTGGTCAGACCCTGCTCCTCATGGGTATCAGTGTTATAGATACATTTCTAGGTTTTGTGAGGACACTGAAAGTCACTTAGTCCTCTCCTTCTCCAACTGCAGCTCCCCATCAACCTCCTTTTGCCAAACAAGAACTGCGGAAAAGCACAACTGTCAGTTTCCTTATGCTTCCTACAGGTACCAGTGCTAACTCATTCTGGGGCTTAACAGATCTGCAGGAATCATGGGCTAGAAATGCAAAGTGCTAATTACAACATGGCTTGCTTTTGAAATGTTACACTTCTCCATTTATTCCATTTTCAAGTGTATTCTCCCTACAGCTCTGTGCTACATTTATGCTTGGTGAGTAACCTATACCAAATTTCTCCTCAGAAGCCAGGTAATGTATATTTTGCACATATTTTTACAGCACCTGAAAGTGTCAGTGGGCCATTGCTAAGAGCAGGTTGCTATTATGCAGACTGTATGTAACTCAAGCCCAGCCAGCACTAGTCTGTCTTTAAGTCTAGACAGCCCCTCATCCACATCTCCTGTCACAACCAAGGCAGGTGACAATGACAAAGTACTTTCTGATTATCTGCATTCTTCCTTTTCCTCTTATTCTGCTTGGTTTGTCTTCACACAAAGCTTTGTAAGACTGGGATGGCAATGTAAGCAGCTCTTAGCACATTGCACGAGCTAATAGAATACAAATGATTATATAAATAATAAAGCTGCTGAAGATTTTCTTGTCACCGCTTTCTCTGCTCCATTGGGTTGACTTAAAGCACACATAAAAATGGCCTCTGCTAAGTGTTATGTTCATAGCATCCATAAATAAAATTAAGATCCTGATTTAAAGAGACACTAAGAAGCTGCATCTCCTCTTGATTTCAATCAAACTGGGGTGCTCAGTGCCTATGAAAATCAGGCCCAAGGCTCTGTGGATGAGAACGGAAGGATTTGATCTCTGCATGACATTTTGTATTCAGCAAGGCAGTTTCATTTCTTCTGTAAGATACTCACATACTCATTTCCAGCATATATGCATCCCCTTAACAAACCTAGAGGTCAAGCAGGACAGCAGCACCAGACCAACAGTCATTGCTCACATCAGCAGACTGCACATAAGATAAAATCCCTGACATCACAAGTCAAGCATCTGTAGGATAGTGATTTGTCAGGCAGCTATACAGCCCTAGAACAACATCTAGCTCTGCATCACAGTTTCCATGAATCTGGCATGAAAACCCAGCTCTGCCATCTCTCTGATATAAATGTTCATACTAGGATTTTATGATAACCCTCTTGGATGCATATAGAATTAGACCCACTCAGCCACACTCTTTAAGGCATCTATCTAGAGGATTAAAACACTTCCCTGTATAAATGACTCAGCCTACAGAAGGCACTTCGCATACTACACCACAGGTATAATCTTTGTAATTCAAGAACCAGAAGTCTGATACTGACAATAAGCTCATGACTTTCATGGTTGATGTCTTCTGTCCAGATGAATATTAAGTTTATCCTTACAGTGCTGCTGTAGCATTAGTGTAAAATTCATCATGAGAGAAAGACACTGAGTGTGTAATAGCAGGCAGGAAAAAACAATGATTTTGAGAAACCAAAAGCAATGAAACAGTAGTTAATCTGAAACCCCTACCTCTTTGAGGCATCCCATGAAGTTGTTGCTTACTGGAGAGCCAGGTAAATCAGCAGTACTGGGGCTCCCTCCCACATAGAAGAAGTCATCTGAGCCCAGCATGGTGTAGTCTTCCTGTGTGTAACCCGTGGTGGTAAGGATGCCATCCACAGAGATGGTCACCTGTTCAAGGGACACAACAAAGAAAACCCCAGCAATGACCTTACAATCCTGAGAAGAATGAGTCACCTCCCTTATATTTTTATGTCAGTTTTATTAAGGATTTTGTTGAGATTTGGTTTGTTTGTTGTTTTTGTCTTTGTTTTTTTTTTTTTTTTTTTAGTTCAGCCAAGCTCCATTTTCTGGTCTGCTTCAACCACAATGGAAATTCTTCAGCACCTGCTTCTTCCCTTTCTAGTGCATCAACACTTTCAGGCTGAACCAGCACTCTACACACTGAGGTGATTTCCACTTACACAGGCCAGAAAATGGAATTTTCCTTGTAGATTTCTCATATTAGCTGATTTTATGATTAATTAGTTTTTATTTTAATGATTACAGTTAGTTATGGTTGTTAGTTAAAAAAAAAAAAAAAACACTAATGAAGACGAAGTTGGTATTTTTTATTTTTTATGTTTCTTTTGCTCACAGCACACTGACAATCATGCATTCAGGGAGGGGTGGGAAAGGGATCTCACTTTCAATACATTATGGATGTGCATGCCATGTACCTAGGGACATACACACCCACCACCCACCCCAAAAATAAATTTAATAAAAAATGGTATTTCATAAATTAACTCAACCAAAACATAAACAGGGAAAAATCAAAATAAATCAAAATAAAATAATTCAAACCACACACTAATAAGAAAAAGAGAGAGAAGCAGAGATGAGGTGGAAAGAAAACGCAAAGCGTGCACACAATGCGCTTTGATACATCATGCCATTATACCTGGAGCCCAGAAAGTTGAGAGGAAAGGAAAGAAAGCAAAGAGAGCAAGAGAGAAAAAAAAACTATTTCACACATGCATGCAATCAAAAATAAAAATACCAAACAAACTCCAAGATAATAATATTAAAAAAAAAAACAAACTCAAAAACAAACAGGGAAGGACCCAAAATCTCTAACCCCAAATACATGGAGGGTGAAGGGAACTGGAAGGAGAGGGAGGGAGAGGAGCAAGTGAACTTGATGTGTTTTGCGTAGATGTTGTTAGTGGTTTGAAGGGAAGATGAAGGAAAATAGATTGAGGCTGGTGGGAGACAGGCGAGTCACCAGACGTGGACATGCCATGCAGAGTGTGTACTGAAACAAACAGCCGGCTGAGCTCCTTTTGGCCACGGCAGGTGGAAAGTCAGAGAGAGAGAAAGTGAGAGAGTAGGGGAGGAGAGAGAGAGGAGGGAGGGAAGTGGGGAAAGTTGGGAGAAAGAGGACAACTCTGGCCAGTTTGCCTGTAACAGCCATTGCCACAACAAAAGGATGAGAGAAAAAGAGAGCCTTCACCACCACGGACTAGAGGCCCTGCAATGGTTCTGATCTAAAAACCTTCCGAGTTTAAAAACAAAAATCAAAAGGGAAGGAAAAAAATAATTTAAAAAGGGAGAAAAAAAAAAGATCACTGGAATCACAAAACAACTAAAGAGGGAGGTGAGGAAACCAATGAAAGAAATTCCAAACCCCATTTCCAGAAAAGCTGTGTTCACTGCTTTTGCTCTTCATATTTTCCATTCAAAAAAAAAAAAAAAAGAAAAAGAAAAAGAAAAAGAGATGTGTTTTTGATGAAACTAAAATAAAATTAAAGGAAGAAGTAAGTATAAAGGAGGGAGGAAAAAGAGGGAGTAGGGGAAGGAAAAGGCAGGTAACACACGGCAAACCCAAAAAAAGAGACAATAAGAATGATATCTACCAGACAATGTAGTTTGTTTACCATAGCGTGTCCAATGCCTGAGTGCTTTGCGGAAAAGGGGGAAGAAAGGAAATTAAAAAATCGTGAACAGAACGATTGTTAATTAAAATAACTAAAAGCAAAGATGAGTCGTTAGGGTGTTAGTACATTAGTTGGTTAGTAAAAATGACACATTGCATGAATGGTCTAGTGTTAGTTTTCCAAAAAAAGGCGTGGGGCGCCTGACACACACAAAGTGAGAGAGGACAATATGACCAGGACTCTATGGGGAGCCATGCCATCTACTCTGTAAAGAAGAAGGTTGCTGCCTAGTCTTCCCACCCCAGTATTAGTCATTAACTTCAATCCTCATACACATTATCCAGGACTGAAGCAAATTTAAAACAGTGCAATACTTACCCCTCAAATGTCCATTAACGTGCTTCCCCCAAGCAAAAACTTTACGCTCAGAAACATACACACAAGTTTGTCCCTTCAGCGCAAACCCAACTCCTTTCTTTCACCTACCATCATCCCTATATTCTTGCTTGTCTTTCAAGCCTCGCTACCCTTAAGCACTGCAGAGTATCACTGGCAGGCCAATATTTCTTTGGCTGGAGAATACAGCTGAAGATGAGTCTAAAACTCTGAACCTATCCTCAGAAGTTTCAGAATCTGCAGGTTTCTTTACAGCAGGTAAATATGTGACTTTCAGGAGAAGCATACAAAAAGGCACGGGCTAGGGTGTTTGTGTCATCTGAGCATACAAGAGTTGAACCTCCTACAGTAAGGAAGAAATGTGTTGAGGAATTGTGTAGGAAGAATTGTGTCATTTAAATCAAGAAAACAGAAGATTGTATTAATGTCTCTCTTGTTATATATATATATAACAGAGCAAGGGGAACTCACAGTTTAGTTCTTTTAGCTGAGTTTAGTAGAGCTCTATGGATGGTTTTTTACTTTCCACAGAATGCAGATTCCAACTGTTTGAATCTGCATACTGTTTCTTGCTTGCTTTTTAGTAGCTGAGGAGCTCAAAATCTTTATGGCAGATTTTGCATGGTGACTAGCTTCAATGCTAGCAAAGAAGTGCAGGCTCCAACTCCTTGCCCATTATGATCAAAGTTGGCAAGAATTATCGTATTTCACAAATGAAATCTATGCTGCCTCATGTAAAAACCACCCTGAAAATTTTGAAGGGCTGTGCATTGACATAAGTGTGCAAATAAATCCATTTTTACAAACAAGAAAGTTGGAATTTAGCATGGTATGGTGGGGAAACATGCTCTGAAAGTCCTGGTAAAATACAGCCACGATCCTATTTCCAGTAAAGGTTTCACAGACAAGGCAGAATGTGGACTTAGTTTTAACTGAAATAATAAGATAAATAAACAAGAAGATTTGTTTTGACATTAACAATCACTACTCAAGGGAATCTCTGGATTCACATGATCTGTCTCTAAGGAGATTAACTGCTATGATAGTCATTTGATCTTAAAAATAAAGTAAGATAAAAAAGGAAGCACTTAGCTACAAAGCATTTAACAATTCCAAAATGTACTGGGCAAAAGTCCAGCTATTTAAAGTTCTGCTCCAATTCCAGGAAAAACAAAAAAATTATGCAAATCCTCCTTCATCTCCTCCCCAGAAAGAGCACAGGAGAAGATGGATGACATCTTAAAGTTCCTGATAATCAATTTACCTGGAATTGTTTTAACTTTGGATCACATTCTTGGAATCTCTACTTCATTTTAAAGATTAAGCCTCAGTATTTAGGGTCAATTCTTGGTTGGTGTTTTTTATTTATTTTTATTTTTAAGCAACATGTTCATAGTTGGAAACAGAACTTCCAAGCGGCCTGTACTGTGTTGCAAATTTACACTTGAATTTCTGAAAATATGATACACATCAAAGAAAGCAGTACTTCTGGCATTTCTGGAGTGGCTGACCTCAAACAGTTGGTGCATCACCTTCTACTAGCCTGATGGGAACACCTACACAAAGTAGGATCATTAAGACCCATCCAATGCATTAGAAATTAAATTTGCATTTGTATATAAACTGGTGAAAATAGACAATAATGCCACTAGCAAAAACCCTGCAGTCTCATGGAAGTTTGATGATGACCGAAACATCACGAACACGTAGAAATAGAAGAATTTACATGGGAATGACCTTCAACCCCCAAAGCAAATATTTAGAAGACAGATGTGAAATTGCTCAAATAGAAATCACTAACTGACATCTATTGGTAGAAACTGCTTCTGATACCTGGCACTGGTAAGCCTATATCTGCTGATATGTTTTGTTTTAGCTATTGTAAATTTTTACCACAAAAGATGTTTTCTCAGCAAAAAATGTTGTATAAACTTGGATAAAACTCTTAAGGTTTGTGTTAATATCCACATAAATGAGCAAATAAACAGATCAAATTGTTGTCACAAGTTGTTTTTACAATCTCAGTTTACATGCCATTTCTGACATCTCTACCAATCAGTGTGATATCAAATAGCTCATATCTAGAGTGTAAACTTCATCTATCATGTGGCAGATGGGCCTTAGTGACTTGATATATTCACCATCTTTCAGAGCAAGGTTATTTAATTTTATCTTATCTATATATGTCCGAATTTATATTTCATGAGGAAGGCTTCAGAATTTTAAGTCTGGCCTAATACCAAATACGTCACCTGATAGAGTTGTCTGCTTAGAAAGGCATCATGCAGATGTGCAAAATTACAGTGGCAAAATCAGAAAAAACTTTTCCAAAGTGGAATTGTAGGGTGTTGGATTGGTCTGGATTTGCTTGGCTTTTCTGATCCTTCCACTTTTCCAGTCCTCACAGCCAACAGAAGAGTCTCATAGGCAGAGACTTAAGAAATAAAGTAGAATCTCATTATAGAAAGAAGGGGAAAAGTTAAAAGAGAAGAAAAGAACAGAGAATCAAGAAGACTCAGAAAGACTCCAGCCAATTAATTCCAAAGCTATAAAGTTAAAATTATTACACACATACCCACCAACCTGCATACCTGCACACTTGCATACACACAAAAAGGAAAAAAAAGAAAGTAAAGGAAAAAAAAGATTTTGAGAATTAGAGTTATGACATCATGACAATGATTAGACAAATTAACAAAACTTAAGAAAAAAGAGAGGAGTGTAGAGCATTGGTTGCTGGAAAAATATTCAATTCCCACAGTAATTAAATGCAACGAGAATATTACTGATAAGATTGAATCATAATTAAAGAAATAATAAAATAAAAATGGCAGAACAAAAATAGAGAAAAGAGAGATGAAAGTAAAGTCATGCACAAGATTTTATTATTAAATCAGACTGAGAAAAACAGAAAATTAATAAAGTGAAAATGAATATATTGCAACAGGGATAAATTCCCACTAACCATTTTTTTTTTAAATCATCCACTATCATCATACCAGTAACTAGAAGAGAAGAAGAAACTCTAGTGAGCCCACCAAGCATTCCCATTTCTCCCTCATATCCACCTCTGTCCAAGTATAAGAGAACAAAGTTTTCCCCAGCATTTTCTCTCCTTCAACATTACCTGCCGCAAGTTGCGCGTCACCTTAACGTCATGCCATGCGTTGTCATTGAATTTGCCATTGACAGGCTCCACAATGGCCTCGAAGGCCCCAGACCCCAGGTTAATGACCAGTGAGACCGCACCGTCTTTCAGGGCCAGGTTGACATAATCCGCAGACTTGCCGGTGTGCAGAATGAGCCCGTTGCGTTGCCATGTCTTGAAGGAGAGAGTGATCTCATCGCTGCTGCTCTGGATGGGGTTTTGAGACAGGTCATAGCAAAGGTATTCGGAGCCACGGAAAGTGGCCATGTTCTCATCTCGCGCTATTAAAAATAAAAAAAATAAAGAAAGGAGGGGGGGAAACAGAAGAACTATTTAGCAGTTATCCAAGAAGAGATTTAAGATTGCTATGAAGTTTCTGAGAAATCCCCACAGCACTGTTAATGTTCTGTACTGCCATATATCATTACATGCTAATGGCTGTATGGCTCCTATTTCAATATGGCTATCAAGAGAATTAACAGCAGGGTCCTCGGTACCCATAAATTTCAGTGCTGTGTTTGCAGTCTCACTGCAGCACTGTCACCACAGGGACCATTCAGAAGTATGCGGCAGAGCCTACGATGTTTGAAGACTCTCTTATAAGACATTTTACATCCTTAAATGAAGAATGATGGAAAACTAAGATAATAACAGCATGACTATCAGCTAAGCATTGTTCCAAAAGGAACCAAAGTACCACGAAGATTAATATTTAGATTGATAGCAAAACTTGTCTAGTCTTATCCTAACCTATCTGCTAGGCAATCTGAGGGACATGAGAATGGACACCTTGATAGAATTGCTGCTTTCTTTCAACTGAATGATTACACAGACAAGAAAGCCACACAAAGTGTCCTGTAGTTTCCTTCTTTCCAAGGACAAGGAAAGACCACACAAAATACATTTGTTGACAGCTCTAAGAAATGACATTGCTGCTAAACGCATCCCAGAACTTTGCCTGCCTGATCATCCTATTCAGAAAATCTTTAGTATGCATACTTCTAATACAGCAAAAATAAACACAGAGAATTTTACATAGCATGAGACACGAAATATTTTCTCATTTAAAAAAAAAAAAAAAAGTAATTCATCTATGCACAGTAGGGAAAACCACTGAATTCATTTCTTAGCAACTGGAGGCAGCATTTGAACACCTTAATACCATTAGTGTGAGCTGGAAGTCTATCCGGGCTTCCATAGTCATTTGGAATCAGTTCCTCTACATCGTACTGCTGTGACTCCAGTCAGCTATATGCCCTGATTACGCCTATTAGGGCAAAAGTGCAGAACTGTGATGGTAAAGCTTCCAGGAGCAGCCAGGCTGGCTGTAGTCTCTACCAGTGCAGTCTGGGGGAAAATTGCACTTACAAAGAAGTCTACACAGATTTACAGACCCCTCCCCCCCACATTCCATATGCTTTCTGACTCTCAGCTATGAAAGAGACTCTGAGCATGAATAACTGCATGGTACAAGCAGTCAAGCCATTGTTTCTTACAGTCCATTGCATAAGGCAAGTGTTGGTGGTATTGCCACTGATAGTAGTAGTGTTTTTCTGCTTCATCTTGTCTCATTTAGTAATCCTAATGAAGATTAGACAGAATCTGTCAGTACAAGACTGAAGGGAAAATACTTGTCTTTGCCTTCCTTGAAAAATAACTGCATGGTGAAATCTGTGCCCTCACAGCATGAAACAGTAGTGACAAAACAGCATAGTGTTACAAGAAAAACATACATCATCCTCTAAGTGATAGATTTGCTTTAAAAACATACTTCTGTAATCTCTGCTGAGAGTATCACAGAATGAACTCATTAAAAAATCTGGGCATTTTGAAGGCAGCAGAAATGTGTGTGTTTGTGGAAGCATACTATGTGTCTATATGTATATATATATATATGTCCAAACAGTTAGACAAATTACTCCTTGCAACAACACAGGTTGGGAGCCAACTGGCTCAAAAGCAGCTTTACAGAGTGTTAACAGTTTACAGGCTGGTTTGGACATTCTCTCTCATTTTACTTGATATATTATCTTCAATTCTAATTATATTGTATTATATTGTTTTATAGTGCTATCGTGCATTCTGATTATCTTATTTAGTAAATTAGTTTGTTTCTCCTCAGATTGTGTCCTGTTTTTAGGCACATCTCTCTATCCTTTTCCCTTTTTTTCTTCTTTTCCCTTTCCGGGGGTGTAGGTTCATGGGTCCCCCTGCTCTGCTAGTCACAAAACTGGGCTGAACCAGCCTGTAAGCCATTGACAAAGAGAAAGACCCGGGGGTCCCAAAAGACAAGCATGAGACAGCATTTCAGTAAAGAAAGCAACTGCATCCTGGGCAGTATTAGCAAGAATGCAACCAGCAGGCCAGGGAAAGCAATTCTTCCTCTCTCTGAGGGACAACTTGGTAGATCACATCTGGAGACCTCTGCTCTGACCCCAGTACAAAAATAGCTTCACCATACAGGGGTGCATTCTGCAAAGATCTACCAAAGCACTCAAGGTACTGGGGTAGGTGTTGTGTATGGATGGAGAGGCTGGAAGAGCTGGCTTTGTTCAGCTATAAGGAGAGAGGGCTCAGAGGAAGTCTTGTTAATCTTTGCAACTTCCTGATGTGAAAACAGAGAAGACAGCACTAAATTTACCTGAGGCACGTGCGGGAGAAAGCCAGAAAACAACTGACATGATTAGAACATTGGAAATTCTGATCGTATATGAAGAAAATGCTTCACCTTGAGGGTGCTCAAACACTAGAAAGGACCTAGAAAGGCTGTGAAATCTCCTTTATTGTAGATATCAAAAACTGAACTGTACATGATCCTGAGTTGCCTCCTCAAACTCACCTGGTGGTGGTTAGACTAAGCAGCCTTTGGAAGTTTCATCCAAATTACTTGATTTTCAGTACTCTCAACAACCACCAAGGAGTGCACATGCTTGTGTCAATGTGCATCTAGCCTAAGCACAGAGCTGATGTTGATTTCTCTGAAAGTCCAAGCTAAGAGCTTTAAAAACACTCCACAATGATAATTTTCCCCCTTTATCACTTTTGATTCACTGGAAGGTAACATGTTATAATCAAGCCAGACATGTACTCTGTACACCTGTGGACAACTCTGATCAAATATTAGGCATCTAAGAGCAGAAGTCAAACACCACCATTATGACCAAGTCATTTTCCTACAGCCGCAGATTTGTGATGCACTGAGTACACATTTGATATTTTAGGGGGAAGGAGGCACGGCTGATTGGTTGTTCACTCACTACAAAATGTATTAACAGGGCTCATTTACAGTTGCCCAGCCACTAAGACAAAATTTCACTGGTCTGCTTGACACAAAGGAGGAGGCAAAGAATAGGTTAGAAAGCTAAATGGCAATTTAAGACAACCACTACAGACTCATCAAAACACGGTGGAGAAAATTTAGAGGTAAATTACTCTTACATTCTTACCTGTACTCATGATTTTAATATAAAGAACTATCAATCCATTCCTTCATGCAACTACATCATCTGCCTGTTTCTTCCAGTCACCTTTGTTATAAATAGGATCCTAGACCTAATCCATCTTTGTATCCTTATTTTCTGAAAGGCGATTAAAAGGGTTTCGGGGAATGTAACCTATTTCTGTTTCACATATAGTTGTTGCTTTTTTTTCCCCTTTTTCCCCTCGGTGTTCTGTATAAATGTTCGAATTTGCAGATGACCACACACTAAAATCTCTCTGAGGCTCACAGGCCAATGAAAAGACACACCTGTCCATCCCATGTCTCAGAAACACTACTCCCAAGGACAATATAGCCACTAAAAATTCATTCTCTGAATCACTGCTTCCTAAACTGTAGCCTGTGGATCAAAACATGTGGCCACATTAAAGGCTTTAGGGCATAGATTAGGCTCCAAGCTCCAAAGGGCTTAGCTGTATATTCCTCCAAGCTACAACACAATAGAGCATGTGGGGCCATGTGGCCTGACACAAGTCATACCCTGTGCTTTTTATCAAGCACAACCTTTCCATGCTGACCTGTATGTTATGATGCCCTGATGTATGTGATGGCTCTGATGAGAAAGCATGTGAAAATCACTGGAGAGCAGAGAATGGGAAAGTAGATACAGATTCTCTAAAAATATAATTTAGAAGAAAAAAAGTCCTGAGTGGGCTAGAGATCTCAAAGTACCTTAATGTGCTTTCAGGTACAGCCTAGAGATACCTGTAAGACTAAAGAGCTGTGAACTTTGTGATGTACATTCTGAATGCAGCACTGAATGCTATCCACAAAAGGAGATCAGACACTAACGGGTTCAAAGAATGTTGGATTATATTGTGGTTTTTATGCCTTTTATTTCTTTAAAAAGTGATAGTGTTCCAAAGAGTTTCTGCATAACAACTCTAACCTAAACTAGAATAGCTAAATTTACGATTCACCTCCAAGTCATAGGAAACTTTGGTTCATGTTACATGGAACAACAGACCAAAGCCTGGTTTTGTTGGGATATGAAATGCTACACATGTAAATCATATTACCTTGAAGTAATGATCTTATTCAAATGTTACAATGCAACCATACTTACAACTGTATTTAGAATATGTTTGCAAACTCTTGATTTATACATGATTTTCAAGATTTAATTTCTAACTCAATATTAGATAGATATATGAAAACAAAACAATGTAAAAACAGGTTCCTTAGCAGATGTAAGCAATTAAATCTTCCATTTCACTTGTTAGTATTAATCTAACTCCATTATTTATTTTAAAACATAATCACATGACTAAATTATCTTCAACAGCTGGGATTTGCAGACATCTGAGACATGTATGAAATCCCACATTCAGGCTTAGCCGTTGACATGTTCAAAGTCTCAGAGGATTCCTGCTTTGTCACTGTATAGGTATGGACATGACTAAATGTCTTGGTGCATTTATCTTTGCATCCTTTCTACGCTAATTCTTATTGTCAACAGTAACTCCAAAATTTTAAAATTATAACTGAGTTGAAGGAAATTTTTTATCTGAATCATACTGAAGTCAGGAAATTATAAATTCTAGATACAAACAGTATGAATCAAGGAAAAATAGACGTATGGCTATTCTAGATGATGAGCAGTGAGAGAGCAAGGCAACATCTCAGGACAGGATCCCTATTTAGGCAAAACCTCATGAAATTTACTAAGAGCTAATTCTGGTCTGGGCAGAAGGGTTGTCCTGGGAGTCACCTGTAATATTTATGATTCTCAAACATGTCATAGACCAATGAAAGATTTATGCTCTCTGAGTCACTGTTATGTGTAACCAATGTTCTTTTAGAGGTTAGGAGAGGAGAAACTGTACATCAAATAACCCAGCAAATTAGTCAGCACCTCTGATGGATTAAAAAAAAAAAAGAAGAAGTGAATTGTTTGCAACACCCTCTGAAAAAGTTGTCTAGTGACTGAATGCTGAAACCCTGATGAAAGCCCTTAGCCTGTTAGAAAAAGTTGGCTGTAAAATCATAGAAAGATGTTAGAAGGGAGAAAACTAATTACTGAGCTGGAGTTTCACAGCGAAAAGACTGGTTTTCCAAATGCTTACTGGGTTTAAGCCATTCTAGATAATGTTAGATTATCCTGAAATACTGTCATTTGTTGTTCTCTCCATCCCTTTGTTCTCACTTCATCTATCTATATAATTTGGAATTTTGAAACAGAGAAGAATCATAGTAACATCAGAAACTCTGTAGATAAGAATCAATGAAGGACCAAATTTCATTACATTTAAGAGATGTGAAGAACAGTGTAAGCCTGGAAGCCCAATGCAATGGTGAGATGCACTAAAGACTGGGCACTGTGAGGGCTGAGCTCACATTTTGCACACACTGTAGCAAGCTCCAACCTTTCCAAAAATCTTTCATTTCACCAGTAAAAGTAAAGTAAGTATTAACTTACACCAGAGAACACCAACTCCCTAGCATGAGTCATGTCCCCCCCCTCCACTATCAGCTGCTCCGTATATTATCCTTCACTTTTAGATGAGAACACTTGTGAAAAGGTCCACAAATTGAAGCTCAGAAGAGATCAAGGAGATTCAACAATACAGTGAAAGCTTGTCTTGTTGTCAAACCTAATTAATTTATTATTCCTCTGAACTCGTGAGCTCCTAAGGAAAGCAGGAGGAAGATCTCTAAAGATGCTGTACTAAAGCTCTCGAGGCCCAATGTGTGTGTGCTGTGTCACTGCAGAAAGCTCCTTAGGCAGGCTCCTACAGAGAGAAGTCCAACCCCATGGGCTACAAATGGTGCCTGAGAGGGCCACAGCCAGCCTTGCAAAGTGATTTATCTCTCCTGATGGATTTTGCCACTGAACAGCAAAGGCTGGCAGTAAAGAGAGGGAGGACAGGACAGTGCCTGAATCTTTAACCCAAAGGAATCCCTCAGGCTTTTGATCCTCTATCATGGTTTTATTGAACAGTCAGCATGCAATGGAAAAACATAAGAAGTTTCCACATATCACTTTCCTGTATCTACAATATAA